ACTGCCCCCAGTGCCCCTCAAAAAATAAACTTGTACCGTTCAAATTGAAAAACTATAAACATCACCAAAACAACAACATCATAATAATAATAAAAATAATAATAATAAAAATAATAATAAGAATAATAATTATAGTATTAATAATGATAATGATAAGAATGATAATAATAATTGTAATTATAATACTAATGATAAAAACAACAACAACAACACTAACAATAACAATGATAATAATAATAATGATAAGAATGATAATAATACATTTATTGATAATAATATCAAATTACATTTTTTCTAAATAAATGGCATTATCCTCAGACATCAATTTTGAAATTGATTCTTTGGGATCGCTTCGATACAAAAATAGGCAGGAAAGGGTGGAAATCAGAGGAAGGGGCATGGAAATTGGCCTAATTGTTTTCGAAGAGGTTTCTTCTTATTCTCCTCCATTCAAACAGTGAAAGTTTGAACTTCATTAATTCAGTTTCATAAAATTATGGATTTAATTTGTGTTCCTTTTGGAAAGTGAAACTTGGTATGAGTAATATTTATTCACTGCTGACTGCAATGACAAGGATAAGTAAGAAGAAAATTGACTTTTGTAATTTTCATTAGAATCGTAACATTATACTTTGACTTTGAATGATTTAAAGATATTTTTTTGTTTTTTGATCAGTATAAATAAATATTATTGAAGAAATACATTCGCTCTAAACAAGAAAGAATATATAACTATAAATAACATAAGTTAATTGAAACTGTTAACATTGATTACTTGATTTAGTTATTTTCTGTTGCTTTTATTTTGAACTAGAATTCCACATTTTTTTCTTCTTCCTGGAGCAAATATTGTACCACCTTTAGCAACTTCGAGAACTTTAAGAAAAATTGACTGCGGCAGACAAAAGGTTAGGAGTCTTACTGCTTTTTAGTAAGACAACAAATTATTTGGTTTATGACAACTTATTTGTGATGGACTACAAGTGATCCACAAGCAAGAACTGCAAACAAAACTCGACTGCCACAAACGAAGGGTTAGGTGTCTTAGTGCTTTTCAGTAAGACAACAAATTATTTGGTTTATGACAACTCATTTGTGATGGAGTGCAAGTGATTCATAAGCAAGAGCTGCAACAAAAAAACAACAAAAGAATGCTGCAGATGAAGGGTTAAGTGCTACTGCTTGCATTAAGACAACAAATTATTTGACCAATGACAACTCATTTTGTGATGGACTGCAAGTGATACAAGCATGGTGTAATGTATTTATCCTTTACTTAATGGATACACGGCACTTATTGTCTCTCCTTGCCCTTGTGATTTTCTCGCTCTCTTTCTCTCTTCAAACTTCTCCCTCTCTTTCTCTACAGGTCATTCACACCAGGAGAAAATATGTGTAGGAAATCTGTATAAGTCGGGTTTAAGAATGAAGCCAATGGCAAACTTGTATTTAAGTCGCATGTTTGTGATTGAAGGTTTTACATCGCACCTGGCTGTGCAATTTTTGTGCAGCAGCTAAGCAAGCTCCGTGTGGCACACTTGATCCACACACCTTGATGCGTTCAATTTTACCCCTATCCCCCCCCCCCCCCTCCTCAGGTAAACATTTTTGTTCCCATTGGAAATAGACCCAGTTTCTCTTCATCTTTTTTTTTCCATTCCAAATGATGCTCAAACCTCCATTTCACTCTACAACACTGTTATACTGCACATGTATGTATTTCATTTAGAAACAACAAATCATATTTCCCTTCTCATGCAGCTAGCTACAAAGTTTTAATGTTTATTGATTTGATGTAATTTGTATTGCGAATTCTGTTTACTTTGTTTATTAACTATTTTCCTTTTAAACCGTTTACAGGCATAATGCAATATGCAGTATAGAAATATCTTATAATTCTCTTATTAAGGTTTTGTCTCTTTTTTTTATGGTCTGAATGGGATGGCTCGGTGACAGAAATGCAGGACACGTTCTACTCCTTGAAAACGACACACGCCCCGCCCGTTGTGATGGGTGGCTATCGGTTGAATAATGAAGCTAGTAAATCAAATCATTGGATGGGGGGAGGAGCACTTGTGTAGGGGTAATTACCAGCCTAAATGCACCAAGATATAAATATGCAAAAAAGGAGAGGTGCTTTGAATGGATGGATGGATAGCTGGTGGTGTGGTGATTTGATGAATGCTGAAGTTGTTCCCACCACCTTCCTGTGTCTCCCTCTCTCTCTCTCTCTTTCTCTTTCTCTTTCTCTGTCACTCTCTCTTTCTCTCCTTTTTTCTGTCACTTTCTCTTTCTCTTTCTCTCTCTCTTTCTCTGTCGCTCCCTCTATTTCTTTCCCTCTGTTTCCCTTTATCTCTTGATTTAAGTTTGTTTCTGTATGAATTCTTAAGTTACTGTATGTCCACCTCTCTCTCTCTCTCTCTCTCTTTCTTTCCCTTTCTCTTCCTCTCTCTTTCTCTCCCTTTCTCTCTTTCCTCTCTCTCCTCTCTCTCTTTCCTATCTCTCTCTTTCTCTGTCTCCCTCTATTTCTTTCCCTCTGTTTCCCTTTATCTCTTGATTTTAGTTTGTTTCTGTATGAATTCTTAAGTTACTGTATGTCCACCACCTCTCTCTCTCTCTCTCTCTCTCTTTCCTCTCTCTCCTATCTCTCTCACTTTCTCTCTCTCTCTCTCTCTCTCTTTCTCTGTCTCCCTCTATTTTTTTCCCTCTGTTTCCCTTTATCTCTTGATTTTGGTTTGTTTCTGATGAATTCTTAAGTAATGTCCACCATTTCCTCTCTCTTTCTCCCTTCTTCCCTTCTCTTCCCTTTACTATCTCTATCTCACTTTTTTTTCTCTCTCCCTCCTTTTTCTTTCTTTCCTCTTCTCTTCTTTTGTCTATGTTTTATTGGTGCTTAAAGCTTCTATTTTCTATTTTTCCATATCTTGTGCTGTCATTACTACACATTGATATCTCTCTCTTGGATAAATAAATGTTTCCATTAAGCTAAATGAATTACATATAATTGTATAAGTTTTAGGTAAATGCACAGTATAAAGTTCAAACAGATATTTTCCATGTTTTTCTATGTCCAGGTATTTGACAAAACACCCACTACATTTTCTTTGAAACAAAAAGAAAAAGTTTTCTTACATGTGTTTGTCTTGATGTCTGTTATACTCTTGAGATGTACATGTATGTCGAGCTTAGTATGATTCAGTCAGTGTGTTAACCCGCTTGATACCAGTAACTTAAGCATCTCATGTTGATAAAGTCATACTTTCAGATTCTCAGATCTTGGAGTACATGGGTACATGTATATATAAACACCATATCATCAAAACTGTTAATCAAGCGCGCCACCGGATCACCAACGGGGCCAGCGCAAAAACGTGTCATTGCAACGGCGACGAGCACCCTCCTTTGTTTGCGCTGCAGTTATAATTGGATTTGTTTTGGGTTCTCGGCTGGCAGTGGCGGCGGCACCACCGGAGCTGTGGCGTTATCGCTTTCTTGTTTGAACTTGAACTTAATTGATCTTGCCCCCATTTTACTATTGATCCTCTGTCTCTCTCTCTCGCTAGGCCTGTCTTCATCAGCTCGAGATTGCCAAATATCCCGCTATTTGAACTATCCAGATCGCAAATTATCCAGTTAATTTGCGTCTTCATCAGCCAGAAGTTGCAATTAGCGTGATATTTGGTCGAGATAATCATCCCAAGATATCTTGGGCTAGTTTGCAAAATATCCCGGCCCAAAGACTTGCACTATGCGCGAATGCAGAGCAAAATATCTCAAGCTAATTTCTCGAGCTTGAATTTCAAGTTTCGAGGTCACATCTCGAGCTGATGAAGACGCGATTTGTAACTGCAGGATTATTTCCCAAATCAGGAATAGCATGCTTTTTGGCAATCTCGAGCTGATGAAGACAGGCCTTCTCTCTCCCTTTCCTGCGTCCATGCGCATACTTCCCACCCTAAGGGCATACTTCTGGGATTTCTCGTAAGAAAAAGAAAAAAGAGAGAGGATGGGTTCGGAATGAGTCATTAGTCAAATACGAGATCAAATTAAACAGGAGCACAACGTTTTCCTTTCTTTTTGTATTTGTCTGTTTTGATATTGCCCTTGGTTGTTTTAGGGCTGTATTAATGATGCAAGATGAGCATGGTATTCAGTGTATGTGTTTTGTATAGGGAGATCGATAAAGCCGATGGGCCATAATTTTGATTGAGAATGACACACAAAATATTGCAGGAAATATCTGTAACTGAGGATGGTAAAGTAGGCCCTTTTGTTAAAACGTTTTCTTAAGAGCATTTGATAAGATGCCATGTAACTGTATACCCTGTAAATATGTTGATACATTGATGTACAGTATGTATCTTATTGACAACACATTAATATTTGTTCTCTGTAATTAAAGTGTTACTTATTTTTACCTACACTTGGTTTTATTCACAGTTGAAATTAGCAGAGTATTTCTCCTGCCCCTTTCAATCGTAAAACTAAATTTTCCATGAAAAGTTTCAAAAGTTTTTGAGCTTTTCTCTTCATTTTAATTTCATAAGAAGTCAGCTAATTGCTTTAAAGAAATAAATTAATTTGAATTAGATTTTTAAAATCTAATAATTCAAAATATCCAATCCTTTTTGGTGCGCATAAGAGCATGGTACTCTGTGTGAGACATGACGCCTCATTTGTAGAGCAGTGGTCTCGTAACCGGGAGGTCCCAGGTTCGAAACCAATCCGATGCCTCGTGCCCTTTGGTAAGGCATTCATCCTGTCAGTCCCCTAGTTGCTTGCATACTATACAAGCATACATGCTTTCTTAGCAGTCAGATAAAACAAGCCAACCAACATAAGGTGCATACAAACATTATATGGTTTCATGTGTTATGTGCACTCTATGTGTTTAGTACGATTTAATAGAAAAATTACTGTGATTGTAATAGTTCATGAATCTATGTTATCAAAACATTTATCAAACGTTTCTTATTTGTATTTTTCTCTGACACACCCAGGATATGATGATGTTGAAATCTACGGAGAGTCTTACGAGATCGAGTCGAGCTTTGACTACAGCTTCCGTCACCGCTCTAACACCGCCGTCCGACTCGACAAGCTTCGCCACGATAGGATGACACAAACCCAATGCCAGAGGATCAAATGGAAAGAGGAGGCCTCTGATTTCCCAGGTAATTTTCCCTTTTCCTTGCATTTTTCATCAAGGATTGTACAAAAATTTCTATTTTTTTGTTTTTTGGAGGGGGGGGGGATCTTTCCCTTCCATAAAGATTAGGTGTCATGGCTTAGTGGTAGAGCAGAGGTCTTGTAACTAGAAGGTCCTGGGTTCAAAACCAAGTCGATGTACTTTTACCCTTGGGTAAGGCATGAACTTTCAGTTATCAAGTCCCTCAAATAGGACTAAGTGTTCAAGGTCCATCGGTTTGCTAGTACAGCGAAACCTGTCTATAAAGACCACTCAAGGGAGACAAGAATAGTGATCTTTAAATTGGCAGGTGGTCATTATGTACAGGTTCCTTTTAATAGTACATGTTTCAATGAGAAACCATTTTCAAGGGAAACAACAAATGTGGTCTTTGTAGACAGGTGGTCTTTCTATACAGGTGGTTGTTAAAGGAGGTTTGACTGTACTTGTCTCCAAACAAATATACTTTTCTGAGCAGCCAGATGATCATTCAAGTTGATCAATCAATCAATCAATCAATCAATCAATCAATCAATCAATCAATCGATCAATCAATCAATCTATCTATCTATCTATCTATCTATCTATCTATCTATCTATCTATCTATCTATCTATCTATCTGTCTGTCTGTCTGTCTGTCTGTCTGTCTGTCTGTCTGTCTGTCTGTCTGTCTGTCTATCTATCAATCAATCAAACAATCAATTAGTCAATCAGTCTTCAATCAATCAATCAATCAATTAATCAATCAATCAATCGATCGATCAATCTATCTATCTATCTATCTATCTGTCTGTCTGTCTGTCTATCTATCTATCTATCTATCTATCTATCTATCTATCTATCTGTCTGTCTGTCTGTCTGTCTGTCTGTCTGTCTGTCTGTCTGTCTATCAATCAATCAATCAATCAATCAATTAGTCGATCAGTCTTCAATCAATCACCAATTCATACAGCAGTTCATGAAATAGGCCAATTATTCACACTGTGTACATATATCTACATCTGCTGACTTGCTTAAACTTAACAGCTTGTACAACAGGCTTACCCAACATCGCAACAACCACAATATACAACCTTTCTAGCAGGTGGATGCGTTATACAGTATGTATTCAAATTTCTTGGATTTAAAGAAATGCATGTTTTGTTGAATTGCTAGTAGAATAACGTTCATTAAAGAAATTAGTCTTGAAAAAGAAACGAAACATAATTTTTATCCTCATAAATCAGCTGCTTAGAAAGTATTTAGATTTTCAACGATGTGCTCACTTGTAGAACTAAAAACTATTAGATGACTCCTTATATAATTTACAGTAATTATTCAGATGTACATGTAACACTTATCAGCAGGCCTACATGTATGTACATCAGGGGGGTGTTTCACAAAGACTAAGATCGACTTAAGTTGGACTTGAACCATGGCAGGCCGTTCATGCCACTGGTTCCTCTCACCATTGGGTCTCTCAAGGGACGTCACAAATCTAAAGAATTTACATTTTTGATAGTTCATTGTTGAAGAAAAAAAGTTAATTACATTGTAAACTTATGCAATTTATGCCCTTAAAGGTCTTGAACTAGATGTAAAATTAGAGGGAAAAAACCTTAGAAATTATGATCTTTAGATAGTATTTTTTCCTTCAATAAAAAACAATAAAAAAATGTCACCACAATTTGTACGTCCCTTGAAAAAACAATGCCAGGGCTGGTGAGAGCAACCAGTGGCATGAACGGCCTACCATAGTTCAAGTCCAACTTAAGTCAATCTTAGTCTTTTATGAAACATTCCCAGAAGTATTTTTACTCTTCTAAGGGACCAACATGAAGTGGGTCATACGCTGTCATAGTGGTTTATAACATACACAAATTGGATCAGAGCCAAAGCATTCCTGACCAAAAAAAACTAAAACTAAATACACATGTTTAAGAAGTGCAGTTGACTCAGTAAGTGAATTTTGGGGATGGACCGATCTGGAATTAATTAGGTTTCAGATGTAGTGATATGAGTTTTATAGCTGTTTATGTTTTCAATGGGAATGGCTCGTTAAAGCTACTGTAAATGTCACAAGTTCAAATATAGGCCCATTTACACAGTCCAAACACCATTTTGAAATTTTTTTAGTGCCATTTACAGTGTACACTACTGGAAAAACTGAAAAACCCTTAAAGGTAAAGACCAGTATTGGAAACGCCCCAATTTCAAAAAATGAAATGGAAGCTCTCATTACCCAATCATGTGAAAGAATATGTTTTGACTAATACATGATGATAAAAAAATTGCCGGGAAACTGCCTACTAATTCATATATTTGGTAAATTTGTTTCTCTCATGGTCTGTGAGAGATATAGGGTAGTCCCATATACATCTTTCTGTGTATAGTGCTTGTAACTTTACGAAGAATGGGCCAAATTTTTTATCATTTTGATGATTCCAGAACCTTGCAGATGCTAGATGCTAGATGATTAACCTTTTCTGATCAATTCCACAACGTTTCTTTCACAATGCAATCGCATGACCATAACTGGTCTTTACCTTTAAAATATCCATTGATGTTTGCTTGTTACGATTTTCTGGGTGAGTAGTGTGCTTGTACGACTTGTTGCTGCTCTGCATGTGATCGCACAGAGGCGATGTTTCGAGAGTTTCTGATTTTCAACAAAAATATAAATCTGGCATTGGGTTTAAATTTCAGTAGCATATGGGCCAATGTGTATATGTAGATTGTTTTGAAGACTGCAATCTTTGGAAACACTTTGACATATGATTTTTTTTAAAAACAATTACATTTATACCAAATTTAAGTTGTGTCATACATGTATGGACTAATGATTACGCGCAGATTCTTATGGGAGAAGTTGCTGCAATTATGTTTGTGACAGTATGGAGACAAAGTTATCCATCTGTAATAAATCTGCCACTTTGAAATAATAATTAGCTACATGTACATGTACAGGTTACTTTCATTACGAATGAAACAAGTGTATGCTACAAGTCTATGTAGTGGTATATGTAGCTAGAACCTCTCAACAGGCATGAGTTGAATTTCCTTGTAGGGACACCAACCATCCGTTATAACCAGTCGCAGATCATTAGAGTGACGTGCCTTCCTTGAGGAAAGTCATCTTTCAAACTTGAAATTAATAGCCTAATTGCCTGCTGGTCGAAAGCTAAATATTTTGTTAATAATTTTTTCTCCCAGTCATGCCCCACATTTTATTCTTATGTTGCCCTGGCAGTGCTCCATGCGCAGCACCGCCCGCCATTCAGCTGACTTCCTCCCTGAAAAAAACTACCAAATTAGCGAAAATAAAGGGGGAAAGGAGAGGGGTTCCTCCAGGGCAGGAAGCATGGTGGAGAAACCCACAGGGTGATTAAGAAGATAAAAAATGGTCGAGTATTTCCATGTTGCAGTGATGAGTCTGACATTAATTACCCCCCTCTCGCCAGCGTTCCGTGCACCCGAGAAGAGGACGCAATGATTCTTGACATGGGGACAAAAGAGAGGCTGCCCTTGTCAAGATGTATGGGAAGCCAGTTGAGAAATGAATCATAATGACGGGAGAATAAAAGCTTAAAGAATGGGGAGACTGAGGCATATCATTAGCGGTAATTATGTGCATGTGTGGCTTGCCATAAGCCATTAACGAGAACAGGATAGAAGTGTCCATGACAGGCCGAAAAAATAGCTGGTACATCTTCTGTTTTGAAATACGGGGGAAGGGGAGGGGAGAAAACCCTGGAAGCCGATTTTGGACAGCAGCAGTTTAGCCTGATTTAAAAATGTGACAAATTGAAGAGAAATCGGAAAGAAAGGTCTTTTAATGAAAACAGTCGAGCTATCGAGGGGTAATGTCCTCATGTGCGTCATGGATGGCGGATGTGTCAGGTCGTGTCAATGTCTTGCCACCGCAGCTTAAAACCTGATTATGGTTTGTTTTGTACAGGCCATCCTAGTTCTCCCCCTCCTTGTTCTTTCCCCTCCTCGCTCTTCCCCCTTCCTCGTTTAAATTCGGATTACATTCACTATTGTGATCTTTTGCCGTGATGCAATTTGTTATACTCGGTACATATATTTAAGTTATGAATCGTTTAAATTTAGGTCATCCTTATTTCTATCTTTCTCTCTACATTTCTACACAACGATCTACAGGTTCAAAAGTGGTCACATACAATACTCTATCAAGTTGCATCATTGTAGATAAGAGGGCCATGTTTCAGGAAACTTGTTATTATTAACAAATGCAACATTTCTATGAAACGTTTGCTCTCAGCCAATCAAATGCTATGATTTCAGAAGCTTATTACATTGGGTGTATCAGTTATCACTATGAATATGACTGACAAAGAAAGCGGACAAAATATACAGTTCCTCAGGTAGACAAAGGAACATCTCTTCACTGCTATTATGTAAAAATGTGTAGAACAGATGTCACATGCATATTCACCTGTTCTACACATTTGTACATAATAGCAGTGAAGGGATGTTCCTTTGTCTACCTGAGGAACTGTATATTTTGTCCGCTTTCTTTGTCCGTCGTATTCACAGTGTATTGTAACTTTTTACTGGTAACTAGTTTTATGAAACAGGGCCCAGATCTACTGGTTTGTTTTTTATTCTCCTCTTCCTCTCGCTTTAGGTTTTGACCTGAATCTATTCTTAATCAAGCCAAGATTATAATTTTTTCTTAAATGTTATTTTGTATTAATAGATTAGAATCCTGATATAGTAGGCTTAGCATTGTTTTTTAAAAAGGTATTGAAATTACCACTTAATAGCTTATAACAAATTCTATGTTTTTTTCAACCTAAATTTAATTTTCTAAATATTGCCTGAATCATTTACAGAAAAAGATAAGTTGCTTGTTATTGATGATTGATGAAAATATATAGAGGCAAATTAAAAAGGCATAAGTTTCAAGCAACATTGAAAACATGCTATCAGTTCCAAATGAAAAAAGAAGAACTGTCAGTAAAATACAGACCCATATTTATATGACAATGCCCTGTATTTCTGATTTTTCTTGTTGTTTTACTTTGAGGAGATGCAATTGAACATCAAAGAGATACAAGTTTAATTTGACAATGTTTCCCCCTTTCTTTCATTATAAAGAGGAGGAACTTGAGGACCTATTTGGGAAGAAGGAAGTAAAAGAAAAGCCGAAGATTTTGAAGTCGTCGCTGTCGATCCAGCTGGAACGGTTCCCTGACCAAGCCACCAACATCTTTGCTGAATATGCCAACTTTGATGGAAAGGTACGTACGCTCGAACTAAGCTTGTACTTTAGCTTGCATTTTTTTCTTATTTTACTCAACATGATGGGGTTAGTCTTATCAGAATAGTTGCTTGAAAATGATTTTCTAATTCATGTGACATCTTTTTATTTATTGTTTTGACATGTTTTTCGAATGATTGCCTTTGGATTACTGGGACAGCTGATCATTCTGACCTACATGTACATGTAATGGTATTATGCTTCTAAAATGATAACTTGATTTTAGAGGCTATCCCCATACAGGAGATATTGAAATTACTATCAATTTTTGGAACAAATGCCAGCATCGAGTTTAAACTTCTTATAGAATATAAGTGTTCAAAACTTCAAAATATCTTGTTTCTTGCCATTATATGAAATTGAAACATAATTTCAAAAAGTGTAATGTTGTTGTATGGGCACAGTTTAATGCATGTACATGTAGATCAAATTGGTTTTTCCTTGTTTGCACAGTTGGGCAAGACTTTCTGTTTCAAGATTAATTAACAACAAAAAAAGAAGAAGAAATTTCATATCCTCACCAATTATGACAAATTCTTTGATGTGCTTTTCCAGGGGTCATGAAGACTGTGATTCTTCACATTTTTCATTTGAACAAAAAAGTTACAAGTGTCAAGTTACCATAGCTATTGAAACTGGATAGCTTCAAATATCTATTTTAAGTTTTGCCTAATTATCACAAGGTTTCTACCTTATTTCTGGAGATTTAATCAAAGTTAATTGGCGATTCACTGTGAATCATGGAAAGGATAATCTTGATTGAAAGATGAAGTATACTACAGAGTATTTGTTTCTTCCTTGGCTTTTCGTCTTGATGGTACGTAGCACTTTTTGTTGCTGGGAAATTATTTTTAGAAGAATCCTGCTGAGTTTGCTCAAAATGGTAGGGTTAGTGCTGGAAGAAGGAAGAAACTTGTTAGAAAATAGTCTTGGGAGATTAGAGGAAAAGAGTAGAATGATAGAAGGGGAAAGGATGGGATGGTAGAGGGGAGGAGGGAAGGGGGATGATGTGTGCCTTAGAAAGAGAAAGGAAGGAATTGGATGAGAAGGGAGATTGAAGGAGGAGGAAGAGGAGGAGATACAAAAATGGAGAGGGCTTAGGGAGGAGAAAGGGGAGAGGAGGAGGAGAAGAAGGAAGGTAGGAGAATGGGGTGGGTAAAGAAGTGGAGTCAAAGGAAGAGGTGAAAGGAGGGAAGGGAGGGAGGAGGGGGAGAACGAGAAAAGGGATGGGAGGAGAATGGGGTGGGAAAAGAAGTGGAGTCGAAGAAAGAAATGAAAGTAATGGATGGTGGGAGGAAGGAGGAGGGGAATAGGAGGGAGGGAGGGAGCGAGGGAGGGAGGGAGGGAGGGAGGGAGGGAGGGAGGGAGGGAGGGAGGTAGAGGGAAGGGGGAAAGGAGGAGGGGAAGAAGAGGGGAAGGAAGGGTAGTGAAGGGAGGAAAAAAGTAGGGGGAAGGGAGGAGGGAAGGAAAAGAGGAGTAGATTGAAAAGCCTAGTAAGGAATGGGAGTAGGAGGTAGAAGATAGGAAGAGGGAGAATACATATACAAGCTTTTAGACAAATAGCGGTTTAGAATAATGAGAATTACAAAGTATCAAGTAAAGGGGAGGGGAAATTATACATGAATAAAATCTTGTTTCCATTAAAAAAAATATCTGGATTAGCAACTTAAAAAAAAAAAAACTTTTCTCTTATATAGTCATTAGTACAGCAAACAGAAATGGCATAATCAAAATGTGCCATGTTATCATTAATGTCGCCCCAAAATGATGAATCACCCCCAATGACCATCGCCTAGTGTGACTTTCTCATAGTCATTTATGATTGCCCCCAAACAAAAACTTTCACTAATTAGTCTTTTCATTAGAAACTTGACAATGTTGTCAAAAATGTCCACTTTGTCTAATACGGAACCACCCATTAGCACAAAAGTGACACCTCATCATTTTCAAGGCCTCTCTTTCACTTTTAATCTTGACTGCAAAGCTATCTTCTAAAACTTTATTGAACCTGACAAGTTTGTATCCCTAGATTAAGATAGCTGACAATCTTTCGCACTAGGTGCATCACTCAAAAAGTTATGATTTTGGGTCAACTTGCGAGAGCATTATGAAGGAGCATTAAAGCTCTGCTCTGCTCAAAGATTTATTTTGGTATGGTATGGGATTAGGGTTAGGTTTGTGATTGGAGTTTAGGTTGTTATTGAGGTTTAGGGTAGGGTTGCATAACCTGTCTATTAAGGCCACCCAAGGGAAACATGAGTGGCCACTTGACAGACGGCCTTTATAGAGAGGTTCTACAACACACATTTCTTTCCCTCTCAAGGGAGACGAAATACATACCGTTAACCACTATAGACAGGTGGCCATTTTAGTGAAGTGGCCACTATTAAAGACAGGTTTCACTGGAAGTACAAAGTGTTGTACAAATCTGGATATGTCTTGAGATGTTGATACAGAAAAATGATGAACCACTTAAAAAATAAAAAAAAGAGCATGTAAGTTTTATTTGTTTGTGTGTGTAAAACTGGGTTCACATGAATAATCATGTTTATGTATGTGATATTAGTATGAATATTCATGAAGCATTGACAAGCCTAAGTTCGCAGGTAAAAAGAATAACATAAGCAGCCAGGATCTTTAAATACTTATTTCTGATTATCTTGTACAAGTATCCAAAGGAAAAATAGATTAAACACTCAGATGAATACACCTAATTAATTTATTTTATTTTAGTGAATTCATGCAGTATTGAATAATGAATATTCATAACTCATTTACCATTAATATTCATGAAGCACTGACATGTAAATGTAGGCATGTGGGTGGATTAAGAATACAATAACCAGACAGGATCTCTCTAATTTTCTGTTTATTTTTGACAGGATACCAGAGGGATTTGGGCAGATTATCTAGCTTCAGTGTTGACCAAAAATGTGTCAATCCCTATTTTTCTAATTTCTTTCTTTCTACCTTTCTTCTCCTTTGTTCCTTGTTCTTTTTCTTTTTCTTCTTGTTCTCCTTCTTGTTCTTCCTTTTCTCCTTGTTGTTGTTCTTCTTCTTCCAATCATTCTTCTAGTTCTTCTTCTCTTTTCTTTCTTTTTATCTTCTTCTCTTTCCTTTCTTTTATCTTCTTCTTCTTCTTCTTTTAGTTTTTTTCTCCATCTTCTTCTTTTCCTTTTCCCTTTTCTTCTTCTTCTTCTACTTTTTCATCTTCTCCACTTCCTCTTCTTATTTAAGTCAAAGCCTAATGACTAAACTTTAAAACACATTTTATGAGAACTTTCAATTTTGCCTTGCATCTCTTTATACCTTTCTGCTGAGAACCAAAGAAATTCCACAGAAATAAGATGTTAACTCAAGGCTATTGTGCAGCCATGAAATTCAAATTTCTAGACGTGATCGCATGAAATCATGGGCTTCAACTGCTGTTTGTAACAATCCAAAAACAAGAGGACAAATTTTTAAAAAATGCAGAAAGCTGTTTTTTTTTCAATGTGAAATTTTAATTCGCTTTATCTTCTTGAGTTTATTTGTGAGAAGAAAAAAAAATAGTGTTACCAATTGCTGGAGGAATATCCTTGTTCCTCCCGTTTGGCATTTAAACATTTCTTTGTGACTGCCACAGTCGGTCCTTCAATCTCAATTAGGCAGTATTGTGGTGCACGGCGAGGGACATGGTCCGCCTCGTCAGAAACGCAAAAAGACTATTTGACATGCGCCCTCCAGGTAACGCATTGCAGGCGCATACTGATTATCGCGTGATTAATTGTTCGATGCGTGCATTTTGATAGCTGCATACTCGTCTACTTCTGTCTTTTTGATTTCTTCATCCCTCTGTTTTTAATTCGATGTAAGGAGAACATTTTTCTTAACCAACTAAAAGTAGCTAGCTATATTTTCTGTAGGTACATACATGGAACTTTTCAGTGGATTGTAATTAGAGCCTGAGACATTAACCTCTCATCCCCCACCCCCACCCTCCCTCGCATTTATAACATTTTATGAAGAGTTTGCAAGTTAAGATACATTGTTTCAATGGCAGTTGATGTAAATTTCTAAAGTGTATTCCAGATTATTGAATTTTCAATGATAATTACTGGAAAGGCAGTATAGAATTTGGGAATCTGTGTGTTACACTATTGAGTTTACTGCAAAGAAAACTTGATAACATCTGCTCGGAGCCAGGAGGGCATCCGTTATCCCCTGTCACAAAACCCAGGGTTAGCTGTAATGTTTTGGTTTGGTTTGGTTTGATGGTTTGTTTTTAACTGACTGCTAAGAAAGCATGTGGATGCTTGTAAGTAAGCAACCAGGGGACCTTTTAGTCCTCTCTGAGGGACTTGTTAATGAGGATTAAGCCTTACCAAAGGGCACTAGCGCATCGACTTGGTTTCGAACCGGGGTTACGAGACCACTGCTCTACCACTGGGCCATCGGTCTCCTTTCTGGCTCTCACTAGATGAAACTGTTTCATCAGCTACATGTACATGTGAAAGCCAAAAGAACGTTAATGCATACAGAGTGATACATCAGCCAGATCACCAAACCAAATTAAAACCGACCGTACTTATTAAAGCCTTTGGGGTAATGTTCTGATTTGTTTGGTCTTTTGTCGGTTTGACATTGGTCCTGTTGGTTTGAGTAATACCCTTTTGGCTCTTAACAGGCAATACAACCATCCTGAATACAACACAGGGTTGATCATCGTGTATGGTACAGGAAAGACTTATCCAAAGAGCGCCAGAAGGTTAACTATCTGAGTTAACTCCGAGAGGACGAAATAACCATGCTCCAGTCTTTCCTGTACCATACATGGTGATGAACCCTATGCAAGAAAAGTTTATAGAAGATCATCTTCCCAGAGTAAGAAGAGCATTAAATCAATAACTCTTTAAAAAGTTATACCGGTAATCTTTCTAGCTCTGGTCAGATGACATGTAGCCTTCAGGTGATGAGAGCTATGATATTTATTTTGTGATA